GCATGTTATTTGTAATTGTTTAATGATAAAATTTGTTTATTTAGTAATTAATTTTATTAGGCATTAGGAGTGAAATTATTTTATTTAAATTTTGTAGTATTTTATTTAATTTCAGAAACTTGAAGTTAGTTTCTATTTTTAAATTTTTATTTATGGTTTCAAATGTAATGGTAAAATGTTCATAATTTATTAAAGTTATGTTTAATAAATTTTGTATTTTGTATTGTTTAATTAATTATTTGTGGTTTAAATAGCATGGTTCATCAACACGGTATATTAGATTTAAGTGTTTTGATTATAACAAATTAAGTTTCTAATTATCTCTGAATATCTATTAAATTTATCGATCAAATGTTCAATCACTAGTTAATCAATCAAGTGTTAGATAATTGTTAGCTATTGTTGAATCTATTATTGTTAAGCTTGATTGATAAGGTATTAGATAATTCAAATCTTATGTGTTGATCAATCATGTGATCGATCATTGATAACACTGGTTGAATGTAAGTTGTTGTAGCAAATTATCGATCATTTAATCGATAATTTATTAATCGATAAACTGTTAGGAAAAGTTATAAACTACCACGAGTATAGCATAAGGATTATCGATCACCTAATCGATCAAGAGGTAATCGATGAAGACTCAGATAACCGGTAAAGTTTCTTGACTTATTCACTATGTTGGATAGCTCTTTTATTATCGATCACATTATCGATCATTCTTTTACTGATAACCTAATCAAACTTTTCATCAAAACAATTCTGGTTAATTGATAATATGTTCTGTTAAAAGCATTCTGTGATTTCCTATAAAATAAGTTTTATCACAGTTTATGATTGATCAATTGATCGATCATCCTCTTAGCGATAATATGATCGATCATCATGTTCTCTGTATCATCTTTTCACATCACATGATGGATCAAAGCCTTACTTTGGTACTTTCTAATTTCAACTATTCACAGTCATATATCAATCACTTATTTGATTAATTCTTAATTGATCATTTAATCGATAATCAATTCATCTTTATGGGTCACTGTCAAAATTTTCTTTGAACCTCTTTTCAATCACGTATTTGATCAACACTTTATCGAAGAAGTGTTCGATCATCATAGTTTGAAAATAGTATTGACTGTAGCTTAGCTTAATTGATAATATGATCAATCAAACATTTTTTGCTCATCTATTTGATCATTGCATCATTTCATCTCTTAAACAATTCTTCACGTTGATTATTCATAAACCATTTGTTCATTATATTGTCAAGCTTTTTTCAGCCTGCCTTAATCATATAATTCTCTTTTGAAGATAGAAAGGCAAACAAAAATTTAAAAGAAACAAACCTTGCATAGAATTTAAATATACTTTACTTGTGAAGATTACTATGTTTACACTTCATCAATTATCAATCATTTGTTCGATCATTGTTTGATCCATAATTTACTTAATAAATGCATATATCTACTATGTCTATTTCTCTTGTAAATGATTGATAACATGATTGATTAAAGAATTATCGATCAAGAGATCAAACAAGTAAGTTCAGTTTACTTTCTAAGTATCTGGTGATTGATTCTGTGTCTTTCAACTGTTGCATCAATTTCAAGAGTCATCACTTCTTCTGTTATTTATTCACATTTTCTTGAAGAAGAAAACTTACTTGTGTGATAAGACTTCTGTAGCTTACGAAGCACAACAGATATATTGAAGCCTTAACCTGTTGTGTCAAAAGCATTAATGGCGAACTACAATTATAACTACCGAACACACGCAAACGATCTTCCAATAGCTAGAAGCTCTTCAGTCTAACAGATAACTGAAATACTCTAACTATAAAAGGTGCGAAGAGCATTGAATGAGGAATTGAATACGGGAGCTACCATCTGCTAAAAATCTACTATTGCATTCAATACTCTGTTTTACTGAACTTCAGTGTTTATCATTTATATACTCTATGAGAGAGTTTGATATATCTTTCTTTACTCAATTCTAAGAGTAACTCAAGAGTGTGGACTCTCGAGGGGATTGTAACCTTACAGGTAGTAAGTGGAAGTGATTGAGAGATTCAATTACTGTACCGAGGCACCAAGAGCCCGTTTAATCTTAGGGATATGGTGGAAATCTCAGAGGCTCTTTGAGGACTGGACGTAGGTCAAGTGGTTGAGACCAAACCAGTATAAACTCTGTGTCTTCTTTCTTTGGTGAAACCTTCCTAACTCATCTCCTTTGTTTTATTTGCTTAGTTATTTTATTTAGTTAAATTTTTATACTTTACCCAATTTACCCTCCTTTTGGGTGAAGCTGCCACTAACATGATAAAGATCCTGTTGAGCCTACGAGACCCCCCGGTATCCTAGTAGCCTGGGCCGTCCGAGAAGCCGACAGAGGAGGATAAGGGGCCCATGATCAGCACTGAAGATTATGAGATTGATGAGCATTTCAATCTCAACCTGGGGGTGAGGGTGGATTCGAGGGTCATCTGGAGGGAGAGATACGGGGCCTGGAGGAGGAGGAGTAGAAAGAGAAGGATGACCACCACTACTAGCAGCAGCCGTGTTGACCTGGTGGATGGTTGAGTGGTTGGGAAGTGGAGATTGTGGGTAAGTAAAATAAGTTATTTAATATTAATAATTAAATGTTATTGATATTATCACCTGGAAGAGGATGTCACAGAAGAACAAAAACGATGCTTAGGAGTTGCTGAAGCCTGAAAGTAATTAATTAGTGTAACATCACCACTTACTAACCAAAACTAAACATAATAGAAAAGACTAAAACTAGTAAACAAACCCTATCATGGTTATTTAAGAGCAATCACATCATTAAGGGGCTAACCATGATAGAAAAGCATTCGACCTTAATTAAAGCTATCATGGTTAGAAAAAGAATAACCTATATTTTAGCAGTTTAGACTTGACTATCTTAGTCAATACTAGCAACAACTAAACTTGCAAAAAATTGCCATTATCACATCGTGGATCCACAATAAATCAATCACATACAATCTAAGGGCCTCGGGTCCACTATCAGCACTCTAGTTTAATGTTCAGACAAAATAAACCAAAGATAGAAGGTATAATATGTTCACTAAGTCAAATGACATAAAAATATGAGAAGGTAAAATAAGTCCCAAATGAATGCATCCTGATGCGTGGCAATATACGAAAAGATTGCATAAAACGAGGTCCAAAAGCTCTACACTGTCAGCTACAGCTATTGAGCCTTAGGAGTCTTCCTCGAAGGTCCCACTAACGTATTGTTTCCTGAAAATGGTAAAGCAACGGGAGTTAGACAACGTCTCAGTAACTAAATCCCTACCTATCACACACCCTAGCATGGGCTAGCGAGGTGTCAGGTGGGATACACAGAGTTAATAATAGTTGATAAACATTTATTTAACATTTAAACTCACAATAATCATACAAGACAAATATTTCCACCAATCTCATGCAATTGATACATTTCAAAAGAGATAACATACTTGTCATTTATTTAAAAGATATAAATATCAATGAATATCTCATGTCATATGCAATTCCTAAACCTAAATCCATCATTATATCCTCCTTATTTCCTCCGACTGAACCCATGGGCTCAGTTCTTTCCATTTGACTAGAAACTCTGACAAGCTCACCACATGAATGATATAGACCGGCCAAAGACCACAGAGCACTCAGTGGACCATGGGTGCCCCCTCGAAGAACTAGTGGGGTGTTGCAGTCCCTCGAAGAACTAGTGGGACAATAATAGCAGCCAACCATAGAGTTCTGTATAGAGACTAATACCACGTGGCAAGTATATGAATCTCAATAACTCCAATTATCTCCTTTTCCCACCCAAAATAGATGCACAAGATTCAAAATGACACATTTATATGCATAATCAATAGAATTTCATAATAACACATCATAATCATGATCACCAATTTCTTGCAATACAAACTATGTCAATCCTTTTTAAAATAGCATCCCACAAGACAGTTTATACAAAACGTAATATACTTTTATAGAATTAGTTATAAAGCCACTCACCAACTTCATACTAGAGCATGCAACAGATAGGAATTTAGTTACTTAGTCTCCTAGCTAACAGTCAACTACAACCAGAATCCAACCTCGAAAATGCCACAATAGAGTTTATATCTACAAACAAAATTAAAATATTATCTCTATAGTATTAGAGCAGGCTACTCACAAAATTCTAGCCTCTAACTCCTCCTCTAAAAGCTTTAATTTTACTCAGAACTCTAGCTTAAAAGACATTTCTCTAAGGTTTGGAATGAGAACATATATATATATATATATATGATTTAGACTCGATTCCTAAATTTTCCTTGCTTAAATATCCTTTAATTATTAGATTATATTATTAGAATCATCAAATTCATAATGTAAATAGACAAACTGTAAATTTATAACTTATATTCCATCTTTAAAGGACTTAGACAAATAGACTTAGTACGAACCAGGTTATTCTCACTATAGAATTTAAACCCTTAATCTAACCGTTGAAATTAACGACTTGGATGTCCCAAATAGGCTGACTAAATTTCAATCTGATCCAACGGTTAATAAACTCAAAAGTGACACTTTTCTGAGACTACCTTAGATATGTGCGAAAATTATTTACTCACTTCAAGCTCCACTCACTATCTCCTATATATAGGTTCCTCAAACTCCTTCACTCTAAAGATTAGTCGATGTGAGACTTCTATACCATGGTATAATTTTCTAGAATATCATCCACACACACAATTACACACAAAAAATATTATTAAAATAATAATAATAATACTTTGCCTATATCTAACCTTTTTTTAACTTAATACAAAAATATATTTATTTATAAATTTAATTAAATACTAGATAAAAAAAATAAGGATGTTACAGTTCTCCCCACGTAAAGAAATTTTGTCCTCAAAATTCAATAAAGGATGACATGTTCATATCTTTATCGAATATATGAGAATAGTCACGACGCATTCTCTCCTCAGTTTCCTAAGTAGTATCCCCATGTGACATGCCCTTCCAGAAGACTTTGAGGAGTCTAGTAGTCTTATTCCGCAATTCCTTGTCCTTGACATCAAGGATTCTCTCTGGTTCTGCTTTATAAGTCAAGTCTTCTCGTAGTTCCACCTCTTCTAATTCTATAATATGTGATGGGTCCGGCTGGTATTTCTTCGATTGGGAGACATGGAATACATCATGTACCTTTGACAAGTGTGGAGGTAGTGCAATGCGGTAGGCTATTGACCCAATTCTTTCTAGGATTTCGTACAATCCGATATATCTGGGTATCAACTTTTTAGCTTTAATGGATCTACCAATACCGGTAGTAGGAGATACCTTCAGGAACACATGATCCCCTACGTCAAACTCTAGCAGTCTTCATCTTTGATCGGTGTAGCTTTTCTGTCTACTTTGTGCAGTCAGCAACTTTTGTTTGATTAGTTCAATCTTCTTGGTGGTCTCATCCATATACTCAGGGCCAATAATAGTCCTTTCACTCAACTCTGTCCAACACAATGGCGATCTACACTTTCTACCATATAATGCTTCAAATGGTGCCATTTGTATGCTAGAATGGTAACTATTGTTATAAGCAAACTCTGCTAATGATAAGCGGCTATTCCAACTCCCTCTAAACTCAATAACACATGCTCAAAGCATATCTTCCAATGTTTGTATGGTTCTTTCGGTTTGTCCATCAGTCTGCGGGTGGTATGCTGTACTAAAACACAATTTGGATCCCATTGCCTCTTGTAACGATTTCCAAAATCCTGATGTGAACCTGGGATCACGATCTGAGACTATACTTATCAGGGTTCCATGAAGTCTAATTATTTCTGAGACATATATCTGTGCTAACTTTTCCATCGAGTAGTTCATTTTAATGGGTAAAAAGTGGGTGGACTTTGTTAATCGATCCACAATAACCTATATGGCATCAAAACCTGCCTACATTCTTGGTAATCCCGTAATGAAGTCCATAGAGATACTCTACCATTTCCATTTGGGTATATCTAGATTCTGCAACAAGCCTGGGGATTTTAAATGTTTGATCTTCACTTTCTGACAAGTGAGACAATTCTATACATACTCTGTCATATTCGCTTTATCCCCGGGCCACCAATATTGTTGTCTCAAGTCATGATACTTCTTGGTGGCTCCTGGATGCATGGTATATTTACTTCGATGGGCTTCCTCTAGTACCAGCCTCTTAATTTCTTCATTACCTGGAATGCGCACCCTCCCTTGGTATCTTAAAATAACATCCTCCCCAAGGTTATAATCCTTTACCTCTCCTTTCTATAACTCTATCTTAATTCTCTTTAGCTGCTCATCTTGCAATTGAGAAGCCATAAGTTCCTTCCTTAAATCAATCACCTTAACATTCGAATATAATAGGGTAGGTGAGCTAGGAAAAACCCCGCTATCCCTCAAGCTCTCTACTAAGTAGTACTCTCTTAGATTCATACAGAGTACGTGAACGGTTTTTCGGCTTAGGGCATCTGCCACCATGTTTGCCTTCCCTGGGTGATATCATAGTTTAAAATCATAATCTTTTAGGAATTCTAGCCACCTTCACTACGGTTGTTTAATTCCTTCTGATCCATCAAATACTTTAGGCTCTTATGGTCACTAAGCACTTCAAACTTTGAACCATAAAGATAGTGTCTCCAAATCTTAAGGGCAAATACCACTGCTACCAGCTCTAGATTATGAGTTGGATAATTTTCCTCATGGGATCTTAGCTGTCATGAAGCATATGCTACCGCCTTCCTATCTTGCATTAATACGGCACCTAAACCTTTCAACGAGGCATCAGTATATAGGGTATATGGTCGATTCGGGTCAGGGATAGTAAGAATAGGTGCGGTTGTTAATCGGGATTTCAACTCTTGGAATGCAACTTCGCACTTATCAATTCAGATGAATGGTTTATCTTTCTTTGTCAGTTTCGTTAATGGCATGGAGATCTGAGAGAATCCTTTGATAAACCTGTGATAGTATCCTGCTAATCCCACAAAGCTTCTAACCTCTGTAACTGACTCGGGTGACTCCTATTTTAGCACAACATCTACTTTACTCGGGTCTACTAGTACCCCCTCTACTGAAATCACATGGCCTAGAAAGTTTACTTCCTTCAACCAAAGCTCACACTTGCTTAACTTTGCATAAAGCTTGTGATCTTTCAACACTTGTAGTGCAACTCTTAGGTGTTCTTGATGTTCTGCTTCACTTTTTGAATAGATTAAAATGTCATCAATAAATACAACTATGAACTGGTCCAGATAAGGTCTAAAAATTCAATTCATGTAGTCCATAAACACTGCTGGGGCATTAGTCAACCCAAATGGCATCACTAGAAACTCATAATGTCCATATCTTGTACAAAAAGTAGTCTTAGAGATATCTTCTGCTTTAACTCTAAGTTGATTTTAGCCTGACCACAAATCAATCTTAGAAAAGAATGAAGATCCCACCAGCTAATCTAATAGATCATCTATTCTAGGCAAGGGGTACTTGTTCTTGATTGTTACCTTGTTCAGCTGTTAATAGTCGATGCACAAACGCATGCTCCCATCTTTCTTCTTAACAAACAACACTGGAGATCCCTATGGGGATATGCTAGGTCTAATGAACCCTTTCTCGAGAAGTTCCTCTATCTTTCTTTTTAATTCATTCAACTCGGATGGAGACATTCGGTAAGGATTCTTGGATATAGGTGTTGTGCTTGGTATTAAATCAATTGTAAACTCGACTTCTCGTTTAGGAGGTAACCCAGTCATTTCCTTAGGGAAGACTTTAGGAAATTCCCTAGCTACTTCAATAATATCGATTCCTTCCTTGGTATCCACTTGTATTGAGAAAAACACCGCATAGGCTTGACATCCTTTTCGTATGCATTCATCTACTTGCGCGGCGGATAAGAATACTGACCCACTAGATGGTTCTGTAGGCACCACATCTTCAGGGAAGACAACTACTCTTTTTCTACAATCTAGCACAGCATTATTACGTGATAACCAATCCATCCCAATAATTACATCCATTCCTTGTAATGGCAAACAAATTAGATCTATTGTTGTTCTATGGCCTTTAAAGTCTAACGTAAGGTTTAAACAAGCTTGAGTAGTTCTAACAGACAAACCCACAAGAGTAGACACACTCAAAATAACAGGCATCTCAGAGATGTACAAATTAGAATGCAAGACATATTTATGAGAAACAAAGGAATGGGTAGCACCAGAATCAAATAGTGCTTCGACATTATGTCCCTGAAGGGATATCATACCTTTGATGGCGTTAGGGGCAGCACCTACTTCTTCTTGAGTAATAGCAAAGACACGACTTGGTATTATTGATCGAGTATCCCTGGAGTTCTGAATGTTATGCTGATTCTCAGGACAATAACGAGCAATGTGCCCCATCTTGTGACACTTGTAGCATTCCCAACATTTTCCAAGATGGTTCTTTCCACACTGTAAGCAAGGTCCATGGATAGTAGGGGTTGACATCATTGATTCATGATGAGTGATCAGGTTTCTATTAGACTGAGATCTTGAGATTATGCTCTTCTGGGCTGAGCCCTTATATACAGACTTCTTGTGGCTTAAACTTCGATTCTTTCCATATGGACCTACACTCCCTATGCCCGTATTATTTCTCTTACTAACCCCTCTATTGGGTCCAGGGTATGAGGAAAACCGCCCTTGAGAATCCCTTCTACGACCTTCCTCAGCCTCATGTGTCCGCCTAGCTGCAACTCGAAGGTTGGTACACATATTTCCAAAATCAGTCACTGGAACCGGGGCCAGTTATTGCTTCAAGTCTAGTCTAGCTCTTTCTCATAATTGCCTAGCCATCCACCCTAAGTCCTCATCCCTCCGTAACAATGTCACATACTTGGACAAGTCTATAAACTTAGTAATGAAGTCATCTTCATGCATATTGTTTTGTTGCAAGGCGAAGAACTCTGATTCCTTGTCTTGACATAGGGCAGGTGTAACATCCAGACTTTTAGGCCTAGGAGCATCAAAAGTAGTCTAAATTGGATAGGCTAGCAGACCCTTTTTGAGCAGAAGTCTCAAAGATGAGAAAGGAAGTCAAAGCAGTTTTAGGGATTAAACTGCAAAGTAAAAGTTTTTCAGGGGCTTCAGTATAATCAAGGTCAGAGACTCCAATAAAGTCTCAAAGGCCTAAAAAGAGAAAAGAGAGTAGAAACAGACTAAGGGTTAAGCTAGAAGCCTCAAAGAGAGGATTATATGAAGTTAAGTCCAAGCAGGGACTAAACTGTAAATTCAAAAGTTATGACCAACAGGGGTAAAAATGGAAGAGTATACAGAGAATTCCAAGAAAATCCCAGAAAATAGGAAATAATATTCTAAGGCTCTTCTATGAAGAGAAAAGACGAAAATACCCCTGAGGTAGCTTCAATGGAATTTATGAGGTTATTACTAGTAAAAAGTATACCATTTGAGATAATTATTTAAAATAGCAAGAGACCTCAAAAATGTATATAAAAAATGAGATTAAATGGTTAGAAGGTTGTACTAATTTATAACATTAGTCCTGCAACCAAAAGACCAGTGGAATGGCTTCAATAAATTAAAGAGTCAGTTTTACCAATAAAAGGGTATTTTAGTAAATGAATTTTATGCAAGGCTTAAAGGAAGTGTTATGGCCTAAGAAAAATTCATAGATACTCTCTAGAATTAAAGAGAATTTATGGATCTAACAAAAAATAATTACAGAGGTCAGAGCACTATAATTATAGAAAAGAAGTTAAACCATGAGTAAAAGTGCACCAATAAAGTGTTAATCAGAGTCTTGCACTTTACTTGGCCCACAAGTCACCACTTGTCAAGCCTTTAATGGATGGTAATTAAAGATTTCCAAGTGTCAAGCTACCAATGGAGAGGATCTTGACTTTGGAATTTAATTACATTATGATTTAAGTTAATTAAGAGAGAGGATTAAGATTAAGTAGGCTAATGACACTTGGCATAACATTAATGATGGTTGGTGAGATATTTTGTACATATTAATGAGCTTCTTCTCCCCCTAATTACTGATGGTATTTCGGCCAAGTGAGAAGAAGAGGGAAAAGAGAGGGTTTTAAAGGAGAACCAAGGAAAAGCTATCAACTTTGATCAACCAATCAAGGATTCAAGGTTAGTTTTTGTTCTTAAGTTGTTCTCCACCTTTTTTGCTTAAGCTGTATGGTTGAAAATCATAGTTTCCATCCTCTTTTGATGCTGGCTGAAACATATATATTGTAGAGGAGGAAGTTTTGATGTTAGATCTAGCTAAAACACATGGATTAAAGGTTGTTTCAAGTGGATCTATGTGAAAATTGGAAGAATTACGTGCTGATTTGATGCCTATTTCAAAGTAGTTATTGTTCCTTAAATTTGGCATGCTTAAAGTACACTCTGTGAGATTTAAATCTATGGGTAGAACATTTCATTTGGATATGTGTACGATTTATGGTGATTTTTCAAAGTTAGGGTTTGAAATGTGGAAACAGTGTTGAACTTTTGGAATAGTGTCGAGTTCCGTACAATTCGGGTACTGTTCGGCGTAGAATTGGTTTCTGAAACTATTTTTCCTTTAAATTTAACTTAAGGAGCTTTCAATGAGACTTGGAAGCACTCAATTTTGGATTTTTTTTAGATTTAATTATGAATTTTCAAAGTTGAGCAAAAAATTCTGGAGATTCTGCATGAACAGTACCCGCGAACCAAAATTTCCAGATTTGATCTTCTTGAATCTAAGGCCATCTAAAGTTGTCCTAATTGATAAGAAATGGATCATAAGGATGGGAAATGATGAGATTTATATTAGAAAAGTTAGAAAGAAAACCCTAAGACTAAGAGAGAGGGTCAAGGTTCAAGAAAGCTAGTCTTGAACTTTATGTAATCTAATGGTCCTAATGGATTGTGTGATCATTATGGTTATGTTTAGGACCTTTGGAACATCTAAGAGGATGTTTGGTGATATTGACCGAATACCCACATGGTTGGAAAGTCAAGGGAGTCAAAGGAAAAGTAAGAGGAAAGCTTGAGATGCAAGGTAGTGAACTTACCCTTTATGTGCTTGACATGGTATGCTCATGTGTTGGTTTGTATTTGTTGTTTGAATGATGTTGTGACATGATTGTTGCTAGAAATTCTTTTTTTAATATGTTCCCATCGCTATGCATTTTTATACCAAGCATAAAGCATGATGGCATGTCACTAGTTAACTTAAGTTTATGAAAAACTACATACCATACACTAGCATCCATCTTGTGCATGTATGTGGTAATGTTTGCTACTGAGATTCTCCTGAATCTCACCCCTTCGTAACTAACCATTTAGGTCAATCAATGATGGGCACTAATGGCATGAGAAGCAAGGAGAAGAAGTGGAGAGTTATTGATGCTAATGATTGATACTAATATTCAATTTATAATTCTCCTATGTTATAATTATGTTGTGAATGCCATGTATTTAATTATAAAGCTTATGGCATGTATAAGAATGTATGAGCATGAATGAGAAAAAGTAAGCCCATGTTAGGTATGCTAAAGAAATAAAAAGAATTAAAGTAAAGAGATGTTAAGGGATAAAACGTAGGTCATGGAGTAGTTAGTTTCAAGCTTCAGTTTGATCTATCGTATGAATGAGTTAAGCTATGAAATTTGGTATACTTATAGTGAACATCCCAAGATTTAAAATGAGTGGTGAATCACCTCATTTGGATGTGTATACGCAGAGATATGAATTTTCAAAGTTAAGGCGGAGAATCTAGAAAGTCCAGATTTTACCAAACAAATAGTAATCTTAATCCAATAAACTGTATGTTTTAAGTGAGGGTGAGTTCAATTGAATATTTTTCCCTTCAAGAGAATTGAAAGGGATTTCTATAGAATTTTGGAACACCTCCATACGATTTTTTAGAATTAGTTATGATTTTTCAAAGTTAGACCTGTAATCTGAAAACTGGACAGTGAACAGTAATTTTCCGAAAATTAACGTCCAAATTGAAATTTTTAAGTGTAAGACCATCCAACATGGTCTATAATGGTTCTAAATGAATGCTAAGGTACTATACAAGTAAGGTGTGACACCAGGCGGGAAATAGTGATCGAAGAACATCCTTTTGAATTCATTCCAAGTAACTTGTGAGTCATCAGCTGGGCTCACACTTTCCCACCAGCGCTTAGCTCATCCCTCTAACAGCATAATAGCTACTTGCACCTTATGCTGAGTAATGCAAGGGGCAGCTCTGAAAATGGTTTCTAGTTTATCAATCCAACCTTCAACCTCAACTGGATTCATGTCACCCTTAAATCTCAGGGGATTATGACGGCTCACATCTTTCCATACTGTTTTCATTGAAACATCCACTAGCGGGGCTTGTTGGATAGTTTCTTTCCCGCTCTCAGTACTTAGAGCACCTCGCTCTCTAGATTGTAAGTCACCTATACTCTTACTCTCAACTGGGTTTTTCTTTGCTTTGATCTCTGAATTTCTTTTTCCCATCATATCCTCCTCCAGCTTCTTAAGCCTTTCTTCCACGACTTCAGCCAATACTTGTTGTAACTGCGTCAGTAGAACCTCGTTATTCTGTTGTTGAGGTTTCTCAGGTAGTTGATCATTAGGTTGATTAAGAAGTTGTTCCAGAGAAGAAGAAGCTTCCTCTACTATGGGTTCAGTCCTTCGTGGTCTTGCCATTCTCCCCACCTAAGGATGGAACCAATGAATACAACCAAACGAAAGAAAACACGGGAAACCTAAGGACATTTCAGGAAAGTTTATGCAACTATGTATATTACCACTATATGCATGCAGGAAGCAATTCAAAATCACAAAAAGGAAAAACCAATGGCTCTGATACCAAAATGTAACATCACCACTTACTAACCAGAATTAACCATGATAGAAAGGACTAAAACTAGTAAACATACCCTATCATGGTTATTTAAGAGTAATCACATCATTAAGAGGCCATGATAGAAAAGCATTTGACCTTAATTAAGGCTATCATGGTTAGAAAAAAAATAACCTATATTTGTAATCATGGCAAACATGGTTATAAAACAATACGCCTTTAAATGATAAATTATAATAGCAGTTTAGACTTAACTATCTTAGTCAATACTAGCAACAACTAAACTTGCAAAAAATTGCCATTATCACATCATGGATCCATAATAAATCAATCACATGCAATCTAAGGGCCTCAGGCCCACTATCAACACTCTAGTCTAATGTTCAAATAAAATAAACCAAAGATAGAAGGTATAATGCGTTCACTAAGTGAAATGACATAAAAATATAAGAAGGTAAAATAAGTCCCAAATGAATGCAATCTTGATGTGTGGCAAAAGCTCTACACTGTCAGCTACAGCTATTGAGCCTCAAGAGTCTTCCTCGAAGGTCTCGCTAACGTATTGTTTCCTGAAAATGGTAACGGGAATTAGGCAACGTCTCAATAACTAAATCCCTACCTATCACACACCCTAGCATGGGCTAGCGAGGTGTCAGGTGGGATACACAGAGTTAATAATAGTTGATAAACATTTATTTAACATTTAAACTCACAATAATCATACAAGACAAATATTTCCACCAATCTCATGCAATTGATACATTTCAAAAGAGATAACATACTTGTCATTTATTTAAAAGATATACATATCAATTAATATCCCATATCATATGTAATTCCTGAACCCAAATCCATCATTATATCCTCCTTATTTTTGCCGAGTGGACCCATGGGCTCAGTTCTTTCCATTTGACTGGAAAATCTGACAAGCTCACCACACGAATGATGTGGACCAGCCAAATAACACAGAGCACTCAGTGGACCATAGGTCCCCTCTCGAAGAACTAGTGGGGTGTCGCAGTCCCTCGAAGAACTAGTGGGACAATAATAGCAGCCAACCATAGAGCTCCGTATAGAGGCTAATACCACGTGGCAAGTATATGAATCTCAATAACTCTAATTATCTCCTTTCCCCACCCAAAATAGATGCACAGGGTTCAAAATGACACATTTATATGCATAATCAATAGAATTTCATAATAACACATCATAATCATGATCACCAATTTCTTGCAATACAAACTATGTCAATCCTTTTTAAAATAGCATCCCACAAGACAGTTCATACAAAACGTAATATACTTTTATAGAATTAGTTATAAAGCCGCTCACCAACTTCATACTAGAGCATGCAACAGATAGGAATTTAGTTACTTAGTCTCCTAGCTAACAGTCAACTACAACCAGAATCCAAGCTCGAAAATGCCACAATAGAGTTTATATCTACAAACAAAATTAAAATATTATCTCTATAGTATTAGATCAGGCTACTCACAAAATTCTAGCCTCTAACTCCTCCTCTAAAAGCTTTAATTTTACTCAGAACTCTAGCCTAAAAGACATTTCTCTAAGGTTTGGAATGAGAACATATATATATATATGATTTAGACTCGATTCCTAAATTTTCCTTGCTTAAATATCCTTTAATTATTAGATTATATTATTAGAATCATCAAATTCATAATGTAAATAGACAAACTGTAAATTTATAACTTATATTCCATCTTCAAAGGACTTAGACAAATAGACTTAGTACGAACCAGGTTATTCTCACTACAAAAGTGAAACCCTTAATCTAACCATTGAAATTAACGACTTGTATGTCCCAAATAGGCTTACCAAATTTCAATCTGATCCAACGGTTAATAAACTCAAAACTGGCACTTTTCTGAGACTACTTCAGATTTGTGCGAAAATTATTTACTCACTTCAAGCTCCACTCACTATCTCCTACATATAGGCTGCTCAAACTCCTTCACTCTAAAAATTAGTCGATGTGGGACTTCTATACCATGGTATAATTTTCTAGAATATCATCCACACACACACACAAATTACACACAAAAACATTATTAAAATAATAATAATAATAATACTTTGCCTATATCTAACTTTTTTTTTAACTTAATACAAAAATATATTTATTTATAAATTTAATTAAATACTAGATAAAAAATAAGGATGTTACAATTAGTATTTGAAATTTAGGGTTAAATATTTTCCTTAAAATAATTATGAGTTACATTATGAATTTGATTTCTTAGTAATTAAATCATAATTTCATTATTTAATTGCAGAAAAAATTCATTGTTGGGGATAACATGAAGACATATGCAATGAAGAAGTTAAGGGAGGGCTAGAAGAACAAGAGGGGCTGCCTATATAATACAAATAAAGGCAATGGGATGAAACCCCTAGAGGAGATGTTAGTAAAGGTGCCACATAGCATCCTTGCCAACGACTAGGCATCATTTGTCCAGATTAGGGTGACACCTAAGCAGAGGGTATGACTTTAATTTATTGCATTATTGTTATATTATTTCCATACAAGTTAACTAAATTTATTATATTTTTTTTGCAGCGTCTTTCTCGGACGAACACTATGAGCCACAGCCATTAGACCCAGCATACGGCTGGTTCAAAGACATTTGTTGTGACCTATAATGAGATTATGAGTAATACTACAAATTTAATCAAATTATATGTACATGTACATATATATGTGAATTCAAGTAATTAAAATTTTTTTTTTGTTTTACTATAAATTGGCAGGGGAGGAAGATGCAGCAGGAAGAGGGACGAACGCCCACCTATGGCGAGATGTGGCCACAGTTCCATAGGCATAGGGACAACACTCCTATATTTGAGTAGGCTAAGGAATTTGCTGTTAGTATTTAATTACAATTTTATTGTTTATTTAGTGTTTAAATTTAATATTCACATTTTTATTGTTAATTTCATTTAAATTGATAAAATTGTTTTGACAGGAGAGGATGACCCAGAGTGTTGCAGAACTCCAAGAGTCTCAAGGGTCAGCTGTGGACTCTACCGCCTCACTTAGGGTAGGCTTAGCCAGACCTGAGCACCTAGGACAAGTTAGGGGACTTGGTTTTGGCACCACATCGAGTGTCGTTTACGATCAGGGTCGTCATTGATCTTCTAAGGCGGGGACCTCCCAATCAATAGTAGCATCGCATCAGACCTTTTCTGGTATGAGGCGTTCGAGAGATCCATCAGTTGAGTAGCTTCGTGAGGAGTTTAAGGCTCAGTTTCAGTCTCATGAGGCCTAGCATAAAGCTCATGAGGCCAAGATGTAGGCCAAATATGAGCAGTGGATGGAAGCTGCCAATACGATGATGGAGATTATTTGGCAAAGGGTAGCTCCTGACCTTCCTGCTCCTGTGCTACCTAATATTTCCATGGATGATGATCTTTCGCCCTAGCCACCCTAGCGCCAGCCACAGCTACAGCCCTAAATCGATATGGATGATGATTTTGTGGAGTCGTCGCAGAGAGCTGATATTTGAGGATTTTTTTTCTATTTTTATCATCAGTCAAACTTTAATTTATTTATGGATTACTGTAATTAATAATTGAATTTTAATTTTCATGCGATTCTAAATATTTGAATTAGTATTAGTATTTTTTATTATTTAAAAGTTATTCAATAAAATTAAACATAAATTAAATTTATTAATTAAATTAAAATGTAACTATTAAATTGGAAATTGAAATTAATAAAAACAATATAATCAAATTAAAATAATATATAATTCAATTCTAATTTATTAAAATAGAAATTATTAAAGTTTCAAAAAAGAATATTTATGTTGGATAAATAAAATAATATTTCAAATTTTAATTAAAAGTTTATATTCGATTCTAGATAGTTGAACTAATATTGGCATTTTTTATTACTTAAGAGTTATTCAATAAAATTAAACATGAGTTAAATTTATTAATTAAATTAAAATGTAGCTATTAAATTGAAAATTAAAATTAATAAATCAATATTTATGTTGGATAAAAAAATATATTTAGTGGTGGTTATAATTTGTGGCGGTTTTATGTTCAAATTTGAAATGAAATTTCCCTCTATTGCTGATAAAAACCGCTACAACAATTAGTAGCGGTTAATTAAATTGCTACAGTGGTGAAAATTTGAATTTGGCGCCTCTCGATTTATAGCGGTTGAGTATATTTGATCGTTGGAATTAGCTGCAGTTTTTGCACTTTGTAGCGGTTATTTAACCGATACAAATTATCGACTGTTGCTTTACTCCCTTTTAACCATCTTAGACGTTTCAAAGTGCCATTTACACTTCTATTTGAGCTTTTCTTTGAAATCTTTCCCAGCTCTAACTTGCATAAATCATGGATAAGTCATGGATCAAGTTGTTGTGTACATCCCAATGATATTTGGCTAGATTAACCTCA